CAGGCTAATAGTGGACATTGAATACTGTTACTGGGGAAACCTACTGACAAATTTCTGCACGCTGATTGTCCTGTGTTGAGAGTAGACTGAAGGAAAAATGTAAAGCTTTTGTGGTACATTTTTAAATGTTTGTAGTGTTGTTGTCCATTCAGTATAGCTTTAACAGAAAACAAATAATTCCTGTAAGTATGAGAACATGATTTCCTATACTACTACTACCGCTGCCCATTCAGTTAGCTGTGCTCTCAACATTGAGTAAAATGTTACTTGGCTCCCAAACGGGCTGCCGCTCCTTGATATTCAGGCCTTGTTGTTCCAGGAGTTTGTTCTAATGGATTAATGTTGTTATCACTTCAAGTAGCTGATTTAGGATGGACACCCTAGTTTTTTTTTTACCTTTGCATACTCCTGTCTGAAGATATTCAATTGTATTGACACAGATTGGAGGCTTTACAGGGGGTTATGACATGCTAAATCTCAGTCCTGGCATGCCAGCCCTCTTATTTTGTAAGCCTTGTTGAACTGAATGCTGCCTTTAACAGACTAAAGTCACAACATTTGCTCAGTAGGCTTAGTTTGTACTTTGGGAATAATGAATAAAAATCATTAAAATGATCATAAAATTAACTTGTAATATTATGTCTTATATTTTGACAGTTGTAATTCTATAACTACAGGAATTACGTTGACAATCTATTGCTAGTGTAGGATGTTCCAATGTTGTATTGCTTCACATGTATTATCTTCATGTCAGAGATGAGGTCTTGAAGACTGGCCCTAGCTTACACAATGTCTCTGCCCTTGCATGTGATTTGCGTTGAAGAGTCATGCTCCTTGGCATCAACCAAAGGTTGGCAAACAGAAGTTGTGAATAGTATGAGAAGTGGAAGTAGACGTGTGGGTATTTTGGAATGACCCCTGCCAAAGGTTAATTGGTGCCTTTACATGTGTAGAACTTCTGATCTAAGGGGCAAAATGGCAGGAATTTCTGTTAATTGTGTCAATGTCATCTGGAAATATATCCATAGTATGATGAGTGATACGTGACAATGCTAATGTTATATGGCTATGTTTGTGGATATATGCATGTCAGTATTGTCAGTCAAACCATTTATTGGGGAAACATTTTTTGTATAATTATTATTTAATAAACTGCAGGTGATATTCTGTATCATACTGTGTGCAAAATGTCCCTTTCAGTCAACACCAATGACTTTGTCACACCCTGACCTTGAAAGCCTGTTATTCTTTAGTTAGGTTGGTCAGAGTGTGAATGCTAGAGGTTATCATGTGAATATCTAGGTATCTATGTGTAGATCTAGATTGTATATTTCTATGTTGGCCGGGTGTGGTTCCCAATCAGAGGCAGCTGTCGATCGTTGTCTCTGATTGGGGATCATACTTAGGTAGCCAGTTTGCCTGCCTATGTTGTGGGATCTTGACGCTTGTTTGGCTTGTTTGTTTGTTTGTTTGTTTGTTTGTTTGTTTGTTTGTTTGTTTGTTTGTTTGTTTGTTTGTTTGTTTGTTTGTTTGTTTGTTTGTTTGTTTGTTTGTGTGTGTGTAGCCATTGTGAGCTTCACGTTACGTTGGTTTTGTTGTTTTGTCGTGTGTTAACTTAGTTAATAAACATGTATGCATTCCACGCTGCACCTTGGTCCAATCCTGTACTCAACGAACGTGACAGACTTTTTCATTTTCAGGAATAAAATAAAGTTATCTTGATTAAGTTTTTGTTTGATTAAATAGCAATACTGGATTTCATAGTGCTCTATTGCAGGGTATATAAAGCTACTTGAACATGGTAAATTGTATCATCTAATTGTCATGAAATAACAATTTATTGGATGTGTGTCCGCATGCTCCATTGCTGTATGATTGCGGAGTGTCTCTTAGTGAAATATTTATTAATGCTAATTCCTAATCCATTAATTAGTTATAAGGACTTGCTATTTCCATAAAGTATCCCATGAAGAAGAAAATCAGTTTAGCTATATCTGCAATATGTCACCACTATACTGTATTACAGCCTCAAATAATCATTCAAATGTAAATGTTACATATGGATGGATATTTTACAGAATCATGAACATGCACCTTAGTCATGGGAAACTTACTTATACGGTAGAACAACCTTATTCCATTGATTGTCCATAGGACCATGCTCAACAACATCCTTGAAACTTGACTTGATAATGCACATTTTATCAATCAATGTTCAGTAATGGAAGACAGAAATGAAAGGTTCTACAATAATTTGAACTTGGCAAATAAGCTGTGCTACATTGACTTCCGTCCATAGTCTCTCTCAAGACTTTCAAAAGAGAAGACATCAACTAGAAGCTTGTCATAGCCGATAGTATTCCCGTTTTTCACTGAGAACGATATATAAAACTATCAATAAAACATGTCTCTGTACTCTGGCAAAACGTTTGAGACCATCAGCGATCTCAGTTGGCAAATCTCTCCTGCAGTAGATCAGGGTCACAGAACATTGGGGAACCTCTGGTGTGCTGCGTGGTTCCTTGTTCACGGAGGCCCAATTCTGCATGTTTGTTTTGAAAGGCTGAGTCCCATCTCCATCTTCATCCATTAGCTGGCAAGCAGTTCACCTCCAGGGTTTCTCCTGAGGCACTTGTGAAATATTGATAGAAAAGGCTTATTTTCAGAATGCGAAAGAGGATGACATTCTACATTCTATGGGCCGACCCAGTGTACTGAGTGCTCCTTACATTCAGCATTCCACTCCATAGAGTGCCCCTAACTCAAAATAAAAAATATTGCCCACATTAAATGCATGTGTCCTATTCATATTAAACTAAAAGCACATCTGCCATAAATTCTCCCAAAATGCACATTTTTCAACATGAATTTGAAGAGGACATAACGGATTATATACTGAACAAAAATAGAGATGCAACATGCAACAGTTTCAACGATTTGACTGAATTTCAGTTCATATAAAGAAATCAGTCAATTGAAATAAATTCATTAGGCCCTAATCTATGGATTTCACATGACTGGGCAGGGGCGCAGCCATGGGTGGGCCTGGGAGGGCATAGGCCCACCCACTTTGGAGGAAGGCCTGCCCACTGGGGAGCCAGGCCCAGCCAATCAGAATGAGGTTTTCCCCACAAAAGGTCTTTATTACAGACAGAAATACTCCTCAGTTTCGTCAGCTGTCCGGGTGGCTGGTCTCAGACGATCCTGCAGGTGAAGAAGCCAGATGTGGAGGTCCTGGGCTGGCATGGTTACACGTGGTCTGCGGTTGTGAGGCCGGTTGGACGTACTGCTAAATTCTCTAAAATGATGTTGGAGGCAGTTTATGGTAGAGAAATTAACATTCAATTATCTGGCATCAGCTCTGGTGGACATTCCTGCAGTCAGCATGCCAATTGCACGCTCCCTGAAAACTTTAGACATCTGTGGCATTGTGTTATGTGATAAAACTGCACATTTTAAAGTGGCCTTTTATTGTCCCCAGCACAAGGTGCACCTGTGTAATGATCATGCAGTTTATTCAGCTTCTTGATATGCCACATCTGTCAGGTGGATGGATTATCTTGGCAAATGAGAAATGCTCATTAACAGGGATATAAACACTTTCTTTGTGTGCGTATGGAACATTTCTGGGATATTTTATTTCACCTCATGAAACACAGGACCAACACTTTACATGTTGCGTTTATATTTTTGTTCAGTGTATATATGACATAGCTGACAAACTGCATATACTGTAAGATGTCTCTTCGAAAGTGTTGGGACCGCTGTTGATGTGTTTTGTGTATCCATATTGTGGATTGGCAACATTTTAGAGGCAACTTAATCAACAGAGAAGAGTTTGATTGTATTGTATTGATTATAGTTTTGCTGATATTACCTTTTGACTAACAGATCCACCAGCCTCATCAAAATTGCCTAATATGCTGTATCACAAGTAATACAAATTAGATGATGGTTACTGATTTTAAAATACTATTGTTTAATTATCAATGAATTGATGTAATAACATTTGTGCCCTATGAGTGTGAACGAATAGATGATTGCTGTTTACGAGACTGTCAAGGACAGTATAACGATGTGACAGGTTACCACTAATCTCTCTGAATTTTACATCACGATCTAGTTATACTAAGTAAATCTATTTTCTAACATATTACTGTTTCTTTGCTGTGATTAACAATATAATTTGTTAATAATTAGCCATATTTAGGTTTTATTTTGCATAAAGCGTTTACATTTGTCTGTGAACACAGATAAAATACTTTGTTACAGACACTCTGTGACCACTTAAATTGAGAAATTATATATTTCAGCAAAAAAAATAAAAATAATAATAAGTAAACCCCTCTCATCTTGCAAGGCTCAGGCTTTTTCATTTATTATTAGAACACTTGTGGGATATTAGAATATCTGTCTGTGTAATTTGCTGCAACACAATCTGGGAGATCCACGCATGGCAACATATTATCCAAGAGAGAAATCTTACATTTTTCCATTGCAAGTTCTTTGCAGTTTGGAGACACTCATCACTTTGGAATAGGCCATTGGCAAAAACACTTAGCAAAACCCCAGGAGAAATCAATTGCATTTTGTCAGTCATTGGTCAAATGATTGTTGTAAACATCTCAACATGAGGCAGGGAAACCTTTGACACAGCACTAAGTCAATGGCCCGCCGTGAATCGCAAGGAGTTGTTTGACCACCAGCAGTTTGTTAGTACAGGCATTATGTCCGTCCATATTGTTGATCCTCTCAAGTTGCTCTGGCCTGCATTGTGCAGCATTGTGTGGATTTTCCAGTTTTTCAAAAATGTCTTGCATGTTTTGCATTGGAACTATTTCAAATGCTCGGTAATGATTGCAACGCAATTCATTTCCTTCGCCCATGGCGATTTCTTACTATTTCTTACTATTATTAGTGGACATAAGAAATGATCACTAAATTGTATCTCTCTCCTCTTTCTCTCTCTGTTAGTATACGAGCCTGATGAAGATGGCATCATGCAAGAGACCATCCCTGAGGATGACGGAGAGAATGACACTCCAACTGAAGAGGAGGGTTCTGAGAAGACGAGTCCCAAGGCCTCAGAGGACAAAGAGATGGACAACAAAAGCAGTAACAGCTACAGCTACCAGAATTCCCCCGTCAGTGTCCTTTCCAATCAAGAGGCCGAGTTGGAGTCGCGCCTTAGTGACGCCAGCGACAGAATCTCACTCTCAGACTTCAAAACGTCCTCACCACCTGAAAGTCAGAAAGTTGAGGAGCGCAACGGTTCAAAACACAAGGATGACATGCACAGCAGTCTGGAGAAAATGAGGGCTGCGTATGCTAACTTTCTCTCAGATTCCTACTGGACAGGGATTGGGATGGACTTGAAAATTGGCAAAACCCCCAGCAAAGCCAACTGTGACAGCACCAATGGGAGCACCAAGAGTGAATTTGACTGGCACCAGGATGCACTCTCCAAAACCTTCCAGCAAACACACTCCCCAAAGCCTGTGTCGAAACCCAACCTCTTCAGCTCGGTCCACCTCTACAGACAAAGCAGCAAAGCAGGTGGGACGGTGTTCACAGGAGCCAGTCGGTTTAAGTGTAAGGACTGCAGTGCTGCCTACGACTCTATTGTGGATTTAACAGTGCACATGAACAAGAGCGGACACTACCAGGACAACAACCACGGCAAACCAAGCAATGCCTCCACGTCCTCCAAATCAAGAAAAAGAAATTTGCAAGACATGGAAGGGAAAGACGATGCGCAGAAAGTTCTGAAGTGTATGTTCTGTGGCCATTCTTTTGAATCCCTCCAGGACTTGAGTGTCCATATGATAAAAACAAAGCATTACCAAAAAGTGCCTTTGAAAGAACCGATCCCAGTACTCTCACCCAAATTACTGCCACCAGCAAAGAAACGGGCCTACGAAGCCAACAGACCTTGTTCTCCTGATTCTACCACAGGGTTAGCTGGTTACAGCGAGGCCCAACGGTCTGCTGCCATTTCAAATGCTACCAGTAATCGTTATGGTTATCAGAATGGGGCTAGCTACACTTGGCAGTTTGAGACATGCAAGTCTCAGATTCTAAAATGCATGGAGTGTGGGAGCTCACATGATACCCTGCAACAGCTCACCACTCATATGATGGTCACTGGACATTTCATCAAAGTTACAAACTCAGCCTCTAAGAAGGGGAAACAGTTAGCTCTGGATCCCTTGGCTGTAGAGAAGATGCAGGTATTAGCTGAGCCTCTTGCTAATGAAACTGAAGGCGATAAAGTGTCTCCAATAACTGCTTCCCCAGGGGACAGTGAGAAAGATAACCAGAGGGAAGGCACATTGGACAAAATGGAAGAAAGTCAAGTGAAGGATGACAAGGCAGAGAGTAAGGATCAAAAGGCAGGGGAAGGGGCATTTAAATATCCATATCTCCGCGAGGAGGATCTGGAGCAGCAGGGATCATCAGGTGGAGGAGGGGATATCCTTAAGTCTTTAGCCAACACAGTTGCCTCTGCAATTAACAAGGCTCAGACTGGGACCCCCAGCTGGAGTGCCTACCCCAGTATCCATGCTGCCTATCAACTCTCTGGGATCATCAAGAGCAGCAATCCCCTCTCAGCGTCTCCTCCTATTCAGCTAAAGCAAACATTCAACCACAAGCTGAGACCGATCGCCCCAAAGGGGAAGTTTCTTCAGGGTGCTGGGGGAGTTGAAACTCCTCAGGGACAGCAACAGCATCAAAATACGGACATCAAAAAAGAAAAGGTTGGCATTAGCGATGGTAAAGAAAGTCAGAATATTAAGTTTGATCTGGTGGAGAATGATGACAGCGATTGTCAGGACGATTCCTCTACCTCTTCAAAGCTCGAAGCAGACTGTCTGAATGAAGGGAGTGATGCGATCAAAGGGAAGTTGAGCCCAGATTTATCAGACAGAGGCAAGACACCAAGCCCTCCTGCCAGCAAAGGACGAAGCACTACTTCAGAGCTTGTCAATGACACCCCGGAAATACTGGGCATAAACCCTCTAAGTGCACTGCAGTCAGTTCTGAACAATCATTTGGGTAAAGCAAATAAGCCCACCAGTTCAAGATCTGAAAACAGTCAACTATCTGCTCGCTCTCAATCTATATTCGCTGAACTCAACCGGAGTATGGAGAAACCAGCAGTGGTGCATGCTACCCCTGCTAGGAACAGAGCATTTCTGTTTACTAGCAATGATCAGCCAATAGACCTGACAAAATATAAACCTAACAAGCCAAGTTCCTCGCATCTACAGCCATCTGCCCCAATGCCACAGAAACACGCTCTGTCTGACATTGCTGACATGGTCAAGGTTCTTCCTAAAGCCACCACACCAAAAGCATCCATGCCATCGAGGATACCCACCATGAAACTGGAAACAGACGTGAGACGCTTTGAAGATGTGTCGGCTGAGGTATACTCGGTTCACAAGCGTAAGGGAAGGCAGTCGAACTGGAACCCCCGGCATCTTCTCATCCTCCAAGCCCAGTTCGCCTCCAGCCTCTTTCTGACTTCTGAGGGCAAGTACTTACTCTCAGATCTTGGTCCTCAGGAACGAATGCACATCTCCAAGTTTACTGGACTGTCCATGACAACCATCAGCCATTGGTTGGCCAATGTGAAATACCAACTTAGGAAAACAGGGGGGACCAAGTTTCTGAAGAGCATGGACACTGGCCATCCGATCTTCTACTGCAATGACTGTGCTTCCCAGTTCAGGACACCACCAGCCTTCATCTCCCACCTGGAATCCCACCTAGGGTTCCAAATCAAAGATATGTGCAAACTGCCTATCGAGCATCAGACGAAGGTAGAGGAGCCAGAACTGTCTAAGGCTCTCAGTTTCCGGGCGACAGAGACACTAGTCACCGAGGAGGACGTTGACGCTAAGTTCAAATGTAAGCTGTGCTGTAGGACATTTGCTAGTAACCATGCAGTTAAACTCCACTTGAGTAAAACTCACAGCAAATCACCTGAGAACCATTCACAATATGTGGAAATGGACAAAGAGTAGGAGTTGTTCATTTTTGCTACATTTTCTTTGTTGTTATTGATTTTTTAAACACGGGTCAGATATTTCAACCATATTTCCAGTAGCATTGTGTAGTATGCATAAAGACATTGAAAACATTTAATTGAAGATGACATGGACACACTGGCTAGACTAAACCCTAAAAATTTTAATAATACACCAACTTATACCTTTGCACCCTGCTCAAATGCATCACCAGTAATGAAATGTATTAATGCTTGAAACATAATTGCTGATGTTTGCATGCAATAGCTATGGCTATGACTACTATTTATTTGTATAATATGTCAAGTTTCAATTGTTTTATTTCAAAGACAAAGTAATGGGTAAATTGTAATTTCTTACTCCAATGACACACCTGCATAAATATGCAGCTGTTTTAAACAGGTAGCCAGACACATGTTAACACATTTACTGAACTGTACAGTATATTGCTATGTCAAAATGTTTTGTGTTGCAATGATAGAACAGAAAAGCACTTTAATAAATGTTAAATCACCAGTTTAGACTCAGATTCTGTACATGAACCCAACACATTTAGACAGGTTGGAAACAAGGATGTCTCACATGTAAAAAACAACACATTTAAAGACATAACAATTATTTGTGTTTCATATTAAAAGGATGACAGTGAGACAAATGATACCTGCACCTTTTTTACCAATTGAAATAAAGAATTAACATTTGCTACCAGCCTGTGTTCATTTTAAGTTTGCACGAGTATCCTGTATGTCTTCTGAAATAGATGAACAATATATGCATAGACCAATGTGTGGTTGGGAGTGACTGTGTTCTTCATAGCAATTAAACATTTCCTTTAGCTCTCTTATTTCACAGCTATAAAAATAATTGCCTGCTAAATTCATAAACATTTTACACAATTCATCTATTTTTTTTCAAGCAATCAAGTCCATCAATTACCACCACCCATCAAATCGGTTTTATAACAGGCGACTGACATTTGATGGCAAATGGAGAAAGAGCACATGGGCGCTTTGGTGATTTGAATACTGTGACACCAACTTGCCCTCTATTGTTGGAAATGAGCAGGCAATCTCAATTGTTCATCAGATGACTCCTAATGCAGTTAAAGTATTCAGATATGATTTCTCCTTGCATATATAATTACTCTCATAGACCACACACCTCAGTGAACAGATTAAAGCTATAAATTATTTAATGCTTCGTTCCACCAATGGATCCCCTGATTCGTCTGTCGAGCCATTATGTTGTAGAGTAGCAACTTATTTTAAATTGAGGCTAAGATATGGGCGGAGCATAGTGAAACACTGATTGCGATATTCAGATCATGTGTGTTTATTAATGGAAATTAAATGTGAGATTGAATTGTCTTATTAAAAAGGAGATATGCCTCAGTACTGCTGCAGCTGTAGTCATTCAGAATTACACAATTTAGCTTGAGTTGTTTTATTCTTTTTGAAATGTCTATAGAAATGCACTGCAATATTGCATTTGGGGAAACAATATTATTCAAAGTATATACATATGTTTGGCTCTATCAGCATAATATGCAAGTGATCCACATTAGGCATAGGCTTAGCAAAAATAAAATGTTGTCATCAATGCAATCAGCAGGATTGTTTCTTACCTGAATTTAGTCTAATAAGTCGGTGTCACGTAGGCTATGTATTGTTACTGTACAGAGAAGATATAGTCTATAAGTAAAAGATAATTATGTGACCATGAGCTAAAAAACATTCCACAAGGTTCAAATGCCATTTCATCACACCAAAAAAAAGCAGACATATATCAAGTAAGCAAGTCAGTGGAGTTGTCAAACAATCCATTTGATGCTCCATGTTTTTTTTCTTCATCTGAGATGTTTCCATTTTAATACAGTTGATCTAATATGGAGCATTTCCACCCTAATTATACACTTCCTTACACCTTACAGGCAAATATATTGATAAAAGTCACCTTATCCTAGAGAGATTTACATGGTAATCAAAACGTCACGCCACGAAACACAGCCCTTATTTTGTGTTTCTAAAATCCCCTACGGAAAAATGAATGGTGGAAAAAACGATTGGAACCATTTCCCTGTTTGACCACTAGGTTTTATGGGTATTATGACACCTCCACTCTGGGGCTCTATACTGTACATGGTTAGCAGAGATAGTGGTATACACAGTACTGTACATCCAGCAGTTGTGTTCTATTGACGCTATTATGTGTCATCACATTCCCTCTCATCCATGAAACTTGAATGAAGGAAAAGTAAATTAAATACATTTTAGCAAAATATTAGAATGTGAAATTCTCTGTCTTAGTCATATCGTGTTAAAGAAATGATTCTTACCCAATGTTTTGCAGACAATCAAAAGTAACAGCCTGTCTATACCATTATGCGGTACGTCTAGCTGTAAAATTGTTTTTGAAACATTTAAACCGTCTTAAGGTCTATAAATGTCATGATTCTGATTATTCATAGTCTGATGGATATGAAACATCAGAACAGCTTACACTCTTCACACAGGCCAGGGCTTGGGGATTCTTTTAAAAAACTGTACTAATAGCTTAGTAGAAAAATCAAATTATGCACATAAGTATGCTTGTATTGCAGAGGCGGCCGTGAAAACCGAATTTAGCAAAATTGATGCCAGCTCGCATTTGCAAATCCTTTGTCAATCTGTCATTAAACATGTTATCAAATAATGATAAGTGTACGCTCCTTGCTTACATTGGCGTGTTTCCCTCTGATGTTGATGTGCTGTAATGGGACAAATGTGCACTGGAATTTGCCTGCTTGGATACACACAAAACATTTACTATCTGCCTGACTTTGTTTCCTTCTGTGGCTTAGACAAGGATGTGTTTTCTGCATTATCTGTGAATCACAGAGGAAAAGACGGTTGAAAAGCTCATCACACAACAACATAATAAGTGAATCTCATTTGTTTAATTAATTATTTTATTTTTTTAAGTACCTGTTAGTCCAACAGTGTTAGAGATAAGGGACGGAAACTGAGCCCTTGAGTATAATTGATTATTTCCTGAAATCCTTATGATTTGTGATGTCCTTTTTAAGACATCCTGGATCTCACCATCACACCTCCCCACTGGGCACAGACGTCAATTCAATGTCTATTCCACGTTGGTTCAATGTAATTTCATTGAAATTACATGGAAACAACATTGATTCAACCAGTGTGTGCCCAGTCGGTCATTACTTCTAGGCCTCAATTGTCAGTTCTCATGTACATGCCTTATTACATGAGCTACGACTGGATTTCAATTTTCACTTAAAAGCGCTCATTGCACAGATTTGACCTGTGGTCTAAATGAATAGCAATCTCCATTCCACCACCTTTGAGTAGGCCTATCTGCCATGTCTTTTCTGTTAGTTGTGTTGTTACAAATATGCTAATCACGTGAAACACTTGATTAATATACTGCAATACATTTGATAAATCAATCAAGCCACATGATACTGCATATTCATCTTGCATCATGAATATCAACTTTATCAATTATAGCACATGCATGCTTTATCAATCATGTAACCTGATACCTGATTCTAACAAGAAAATATAATGGTTGATAAAGTACTTGTGAACAGGTGAAAACCCAGGAACAGTGTGATAATCAATTTGTCGTCTTCAAAACTTTCTATCACAATAGTTCAAACTTTTTGTTTTCATAATTTAGACCTACTCATGATTTTCTGTCCCTCTTTTCTTCTAATCATTCCTTGTTCTTTCCTTGTCTGTCTCTTATGGTTCAACTTGTAACGGTTGTCCTTTATTATTCATTTTGTTTCATGTCTGTGTTCAATGCAAAAGACATAGACCAGTCAATGATTGAGTCATGTTATTACTCCTCTGTGAGAGGAGAATAACATTTGAAAGGCTTCACCGATGTGTCAGTCAGTCAATTGAAGTAACTTTTAAAGTCTCCCTCCCTCTTAAAGTACACTACATGACCAAAAGTATGTGGACCGCTGCTCATCGAACATCTCATTCCAAAATCATGGGCATTAATATGGAGTTGGTCCCTCCTTTGCTGCTATAACAGCCTCCACTCTTCTGGGAAGGCTTTCCTCTAGATGTTGGAACATTGCTACGGGGACTTGCTTACATTCAGCAACAAGAGCAATAGTGAGGTTGAGAACTGATGTTGGGCAATTAGGCATGGCTCGCAGTCGGCGTTCCAATTCATCCCAAAGGTGTTCGATGGGGTTGAGGTCTGAGCTCTGTGCAGGCCAGTCAAGTTCTTCCACACTTCCCCAAACTGTTATTTTCATGAAATAAACACACACAGTGATTGTGATGATTTAAAAATACAATTAAAAAGACTGCATGGGGTTGCTTTAATTCAAAGAATGTTTAAAGTCCACATCTATCTTGCATTTCTGTATTCCTCTTCCAAAGTTTTTTTTTTTTACAGGATTAGTTTGTCACAGAGAACTGTGGACGGATTTCAGCGTAGGAATGCATGGGCAACGTTTCATTGCCATCATATACTGGAGGAGATAAATAACACTTGATTGCCAGCAGTTCATCAGTGCATCCTTCAAATGTGTCACCGAGCCTGCCTCAAGGCAGCGTGCTGGCTCAAATTGAAGCTGGCATCTCCCAAATATGAAAGCAACAAATCACACATTTTTATTGGGGCCTAATCTGCAGCCCAGCCCCCTTGCAGACGTCAGCACAATCACGGACGCCTCTCTAATTCATGCCGACTGGCTGCTTGTGCCTCCCAAGCATCTCCGGACGCACAGACCAAACGCTAATGGCTTGGCGCCAGAGATGGGGGTGACACCTATGCTTATCAGACGACTTTAATACGCTTGTAAAAATGTGTGTAGAGTGTGAGGAGAGAGGGCAGGAATCTGCCTGGATAAATACATGGATGAGATGTAAATAGAGTTTACATCTGCAATAATTTCTGTGTTCATTCAAATCAAATTAGGTTGTTTGATGGAACAAAATGTGGGTGCTAAACCAACTCTGAATGTAGCT